TCTTCCGCCGCTTCCGCGTCGGCAACAGCGCCCACGTCGACGGCGCCGCCTTCCGCGAGGCCCTCGTCAACTCCATCGTCCGCGGCCACGACGGCGCGACGGAGCGCTTCCAGCTCTCGCGCGGCTGGTTCCTCGTGCGCCGCGACGACGGCCTCATGTTCGAGCGTCCGCCGACGGTCGAGTACGGCCCCGCGGCCTCGACGGACAACCCGCCCGAGGACCTCATCAACGCCGTGTCGGCGGCCAAGTTCCGCGAGCTCATCATCGAGGCGCGGCACATCTACCAGGAGCAGGAGTACGCGAAGCTCTCGACCTCCGAAAAGTTCGACCGCCTCGTCCTCCGCTACAAGCTCGCCCACGCCGACCTGCCACCGGACCTCCAGCCCGGGTGGTATAGGCGCGAGGAGCTCGACGCGATGGACGAGGAGACGCTCAACGCCGGCATCGATGTCGCCGTTGGCAACGCCAAGCGGCGCCGCGCGGAATTCGAGGCGGAGCAGGCGCCGAAGCGCCAGAAGCAAGCCGGGCCGTCGCAGCAGGGCAAGTTCGTGGGCCAGAGCGTCGGCGAGGGCACGAGCGCTCAGACCCATGCCTCGAACCTGAGCTATTCCGCGTGGCGGAAGATGCTGCCCGACCGGGAAATCTGGTTCGGCTTCATCAGCGTCCCCGGCTTCGACGACTGCCCCGGCGTCTCCCGCGGCGCGAACCAGCCGCGGCTGCCGCCGTTCAAGCACGCCTACAAAGGCATCGGCAAGGCCATGGCCGAACACTGGGAGCAGTGCCCCACCTGCCTCGCCAACGCGTGGAAGATCTACACGCGCGAGGCCAAGCTGCCGAAGCTCGAGTTCGGCAACGCGGAGGGCCGGTACTACCCCACGGACAACAGCGTCGTCAAGTGGCTCCACTTCTGCGACGTCGGCAAGGAATACGCCGCCGGCCGGCCGCAGCCCTACACGCTCACGCCGAAAACGCTCACGCACTTCAAGCAGGGCGTCGAAATCCGCCCGGACATCGTCGACTCGGAGGAGACCGCCGCTGCCGCGGAGGCCGCCGCGGAGGCCGCCGCGGAGGCCGCCGCCGAGGCCGTCGCCGCCGCCGCCGCCGCCGCGAGCGACGCGGAGCTCGCGGCCGATGCCGACGCGTGGGACTAGGCACCGGACGAGGCGGCCGTCGAGACGGCGGGCGGCGTGCCGGCCCCGTTGGCGGCCTGGACGGCGACGACGACTTCGACTTCAGAGGCGACTTCTTCAGGACCGCCCGGCTTTAGGCCCCTCGCGCGCGCGCTCGGCGCTCGTGCTCCAACTCGTAACTTAACCCCGCGCGCGTAGGGTATGGATCGGTCGGCCGGGCCTGGACGCGTGGCGCAA